TTCATCTCTAATTTCCTATAGTAATTTATATATCTCTCATACTCTTGAATTATATAATCAAAGTGTTATTTTTCTTGATTGTTACAAAGGTTTATTTTAACAAAAAGTTTAAAATGAAAATACACATGATCCAGTTTTTAACACAGAAAAACAGGCCCTTTAGGGAAGGGACATAGATTGCTCTGAACAGCCATTATTTATACTCCATCCAAAACTTCTTGTAAGTTGATACTATTTCCTTGAATTACCACCATTCCAATATTGTTATCTTACCTACAAGTTGCCATATTCACACATTTATCTATCACAAAACTTAAGGAATCAAATATCCACAGTATTCCTTGGACATGTCTGCCACTGTTTTATTTAAATGATAAATTCTTTTCTATTAATTTTTCAGCTTGAAAGGCTAAACTTTACTTATTGTCCACAGTGTAATTATTATGAGTCTTACTGTCTGAGTTTGATTCCTGGCATCATCATTTAATAGTTGTGTAATTTGGGACAAATGACTTACTCTTTCTTATACTTAGTTTCTTTGTCTCTTACATGAGGACGATAGTACTAGCTGCCTCTTTATTATGAAGATTAATATTTGTAAAGCTCTTAGAACATGCAATTTTCTCCTACTAAATCATAAGATCCTTAGGAATAGGAACCTATTTCTATTAGCATACCCAACATAGTCCATACTTATAGTTCAGAATTTGATTTTGAAAGGAATTTTTTGAATGGTGAATACTCTGTGCTGGGCATGGTAACTTGTGTCTGTAATCTCAGCAATTTGGGAGACTGAGGCAGGAGGGTCAGAAGTTTGAAGCCAGCCTGGGTAATGTAATGAGTTCCCCATCTCAAAAAATTCTCTATTTGTAAGTTAGCTATGAAGTTTGAGAAACCAGTTGAATATTACTGTATGTTTTCTTTTTTCTTTCCTTTTCCATACCAGGAATTGAACCCAGGGGCACTTAACCACTGAGTCACATCCACAGCCCTTTTTTAATTTTTTTATTTTGAGGCAGGGTCTTGATAAGGACAGCTTTGAACTTGAAATCTTTCTGCCTCAGCCTCTCAAGCCCCTGGGATTATATGCATGCACCACTGTACCTGGCTTTTACACATATTTTCTTACCTACAGTGGTACTCAGACTCCAGTATAGGACTAAGTGCTTGCTAGATAGCTTGGTGATGCTGAACCTTAATAATTTCAGTGAGAATGGCTATAATAATGTGGGATAAAAAGAGTAAGAGAACGGGGGATAGAAATGGGAAGAAGTAGTCAACAGGCAATAAAGCACTCTGTTATGAATATTAGCACAATATTTAGGCTCCAAAAACCCTTAGTGAAAGTTATAAATAGTCCCGGTAGTAGTCAAGGCTAGTCACCATCCAAGCAGTGTCATTTTTTTTTTTTTCCTTTGAGTTGCCTCAAAGTCTAAGGCACTTCTGTGAGTAGAAAGCAGTTAACAGGGTAAATGGGATATTTGGGGAAAGATCTGCCAATTTTATTGGCTAAGGAGCAAAGGAAAAAGAAAAACTCGATCACTTTCAGGCAACTCAGTACCCATTGGTTTTAATTTTAATTGTAGTCTGAGGAATTCCTGAACTGCAAAAAAAAAAAAAAAAAAATCTCCAGAGCAGGAATGGCTTCATCCTGTATGCCTCCTGATATATGTAGTGGGAAGAATCCCTTAATTTGCAGTACTTCTCACAACTAATGAGAAGATTGACAAAGAGAGCCCATTCTCTGCAATGCCTATTTTTGGGAATGAACAAAAGATGAGTGAATTATCTTTGTGATAGTTAACATTGTTGGTACTGTGAAGAAAAATATTGCAACTCTGATATTTCTGACTGGCCGCCTCGAAATGTCCTAATTCAAATGAGTTCTGTGCCTGTAATCCCAGCATCTTGGGAGGCTGAGGCAGGAGGATGGCAAAATCAAAGCCAGCCTCAGCAAAAGTGAGATACTGGGGCTGGGATTGTGGTTCAGTGGTAGAGCACTTGCCTAGCATGCATGAGGCACTGGGTTCGATCCTCAGCACCACATAAATGTAAAATAAAAGATATTGTGTCCACTTAAACCTAAAAAATAAATATTGGGCTGGGGATGTGGCTCAAGCGGTAGTGCGCTTGCCTGGCATGGGTGCGGCCCGGGTTGGATCCTCAGCACCACATACAAACAAAGATGTTGTGTCTGCCGAAAACTAAAAAATAAATATTAAAAAAACTCTCTCTCTCTCTCTCTTGCGCTCTCTCTCTCTCTCTTTTAAAAAAATTTAAAATAAAAAATAAATATTAAAAAGAAAAAAGTGAAATGCTAAGCACTCAGTGAGACCCTGTCTCTAAATAAAATACAAAATAGGGATGGGGATGTGGTTCAGTGGTTGAGTTCAATCCCTGGTTACACCTCTGCCTTCCCCCCAAAAGAAGTTCTGATTCCATCTATTTATTTAACTTGATTTTCTAATTGAAAATTTTGTAATATCACTATCTTTAATGCACCTCTGTTTTAAGCCTTTCAGTGAGATTTATGCTAAGGTTCTTAGCTTCTCTGTAGTGTGTCCCTAAACCCCTGATGTTTCTTTTTTTAACCTGTTTTGCAGTCTTTAGACAGTACTTTGAGGAGATGGAGATGCTGATCAGTGGTAGAAAGCTTGTTTAACATGCATAAGGCGCTGGCTTTATATCCTACAAGAAAGCATAGAGTGAACACTCTAACATATAGGCATAGGCAATGACTTTCTTAATAGGACCCCTAAAGCCTAGGAAATAATGCCAAGAATTAATAAATGGAACAGCATCAAAAGCTTCTTCAAAAGCATAAAAAGCTTCTTCACAGCAAAAGAAGCAATTAAGTATGTGAAGAGAGAACCTACAGAATGGGAGAAAATCTTTGCTAGCTACTCTTCTGAGAGAGGATTAATATCTAGAATATATAAAGAACTCAAAAAAACCTAACACCAAAAACAAAACAAAAAAACAACCAAATAACCCAGTTAATAAATAGGCAAATGAACTAAACAGACACTTCTCAGAACAAATGCAAATGGCCAACAAATATATGAAAAAATGTTCAACATCATTAGCAGTTATGAAAATGCAAATCAAAACTATATTGAGATTTTATGTTAGAATGGCAGTCATCAAGAATACAAATGAGGGGCCTTTGGTTGTAGTCCAGTGGTAGAGTGTTTGCCTAGCATGTGTGAGGCACTGGGTTTGATCCTCTGGACCACATAAAAATAAAATTTAAAAAAATTAAAGGTATTTTTAAAAGTGTTTTTAAAAAATAATACAAATAAGAATAAATGCTGGAGAGGATGTGGGAAAGAACACTTTTACACTATTGATGGGATTGTAAATAAATATGGAAATCAGTATGGAGGCTCTTCAAAAGACTAGGAATGGAACAACATATGACCCATATGACCATTTCTTGGTATTTTATCCTAAAGACTTAAAGCCAGCATATTATAGTGATACATGCATACCCATGTTTATAGCAGAACAATTCACAATAGCCAAAATGTCCATTAGAGAATGAATAAAGAAAACATGGCATATGTATACAATGGAGTTTTATTCAGCCATAAAGAAATAAAATTATGTCATTTGCAGGAAATGGATAGAACTCAAAACCATTATGTTAAGCAAAATAAGCCAAACTCAAAAGGTCAAGAGTTGTATGTTTTCTCTCATTTGTAGAAACTAGAGAAGAAAAGGGAAAAGGTGCAGGGTCAGGTCTCCTGAAAATCGAAGGGAGATCAGTGGAAGAGAGGAAAGGGACCAGAATGAGTGAAGATGAAAGAGAAAGAGGAAATTCTGGGGAACAATATTAGCCAAATCGTTTTGTGAGCATGTGCGAGTACGTAACAACAAATCCTAGCGTTATGTATAACTATGAAGCACCAATAAAAAAATATGGAGGGGGCTGGGGTTGTGGCTCAGTGGTAGAGCTCTCACTTAGCATGTGTGAGGCACTGGGTTCAATCCTCAGCACCACATAAAAATTTAAAAACTTGGGGCTGGGGATGTGGCTCAAGCGGTAACGCGCTCGCCTGGCAGGTGTGGGGCGCTGGGTTCGATCCTCAGCACCACATAAAATAAAAATGTTGTGTCCACCGAAAACTAAAAATAATAAATATTAAGAATCTCTCTCTCTCTCTCTCTCTCTCTCTCTCTCTCTCTAAAAAAAAATTTAAAAACTGAAAAATATATATTTATATATTTTAAAAAATATATGGGAAAAGAGGCAGTGTTTTCTGAGTCACTTAATAAGTATTTTATGGATGTTTCCTTTCCTCATGCATGAATTTGTTTGCTGTGTTGGTTCCTTTATATTTGGCCTATTAAGAGCTTTCTTTCTCCCTTTTTAATAACTGTGATAGCCAAATATGATTTCTCGTGTTGCATAGTCCTTTTTTTCTTTTCCTGAAAGTTAAATCACTATATGATTTATATACTATATACTACGGATATGTATATAGTTCATATCCGTAGTACAGTGTAACTGCTTTCTCAGAAATTGAGGCACTGGTTTTAATGACTATAGAAGGGATATATAGAATTATAAACATAGTCTCTGCCCTCAAGGAACTTGTAGCCTAGTTAAGAAATCAGAATTAAACATGAAAAGTAAAACATAGGTAATAGTTCTGGTAGTAGGCCATAAAGGAGTATATGATGTGTTAATTGTACAGACAATGATAACTCTGGAATTAAGAGATTTGCTTTTGTCCAGGTTAGTCAAGGAAATTTGAACTTAGTACTGAAAATAAACAAATTTTGGATAAGAGACTAACTCAGATTTCTTGTTGAAGAGTTTCATAGTACTTTGTCCTTTTTTTTCTTAGAATCTTTAAATGAACTCTTCTTATTGTATTTTTTACCTAGTGCACTTATAATAAACTCTTGAAAATGTTTTTTACCTAGTGCACTTATAATAAACTCTTGAAAATAAACTCTATAATAATGCCTTCAATTTTCTGTTTTTGTCATAGGCATCCCGATTTTCAGCTGCTGAAGGAAGGACAAAGGTATGGTTGAATCAGTATCACTTACATTCTCTATAGTGTTCATGTTAATAGAAACATTAGGAGTGAACCAGGTGATATGAGTGCTTGGACTTCCTGTGCTGATACATTTTAAGTGTCCTATTTTAGCTCACACAAAGAAATATTTGACATGTTCAGCTTTTTTATATAGTGATGGTAAGATGATGTGTATAATGTGTTTGATCTCTGATTTATTGTACAGCTGTTCCTACTGAGGAGGTCTAATTGAACCTGTTGAAATATGACACAAACACACCCTCCATCTCAGATACTGGGTTTCTTTGTCAGCTAGATTGTACCAATTACATTTGTTGAAAGAATTTTATGATCTTATAGGATCAAGACATTAATTATCAGTTATTTAGTTATTTGAAAGCACTAATATAACTTCTAGGCTGTGATTTTTTTTCTCCCCTTAAACCCTCCTCATAGGATTGCTTGACCAACCATGGACATCTCTGAAAACATATCCTATAACTCTCAGCATAAATATTCCTAGTTAATAACCACAACCTTTAGCTACACAGTGTTGAGCACAAGATACGTATTGATGAATGTCTTTATAACTTCAAATTAGTATAGAAAAAAAATTTAATTGCCTTAAAATTCTACAAAAAAGTATGAAATAATATGAAAGTTGATTTTTAACTTGTTCTGTTTTTTGAAACTTATACTTTTTTCTTATCTAAGAGATGGTCCCCTTGTTATATAGATTAAATTTTAACTAAACATTACATCTATTTGTTTTAAGAGAGAGAGAGAATTTTTTAATATTTATTTTTCAGTTTTTGGTAGACACAACATCTTTATTTTATTTTATGTGGTGCTGAGGATCGAACCCAGCGCCCCGCACATGCCAGGCGAGCACGTTACCGCTTGAGCCACATCCCCAGCCCTAAACATTACATCTAATATTGAAAAAAATTGCCATTTTTTTCCCCTATCCATAATCTTGCTTTTTGCTTTTTTTTTCTTTTACACATCTCCGAGGTGTGTTTCAAGTTTGTTTTTTTTTTAATAATTATCGACGGACCTTTATTTAATTTATTTATATGCAGTGCTAAGAATTGAACACAGTGCCTCACACATGCTAAGCAAGCACTCTACCACTGAGTTACAACCCCAGGCCCCCAGGTGTGTTTCTTAACCCAAAAACTTCCTCATCTGAATGTGTTAAAAGTTCTAATAGGTATGTGCTTGAGAACAACTGTTTACCTATCCTTGTTTGTCTCAAGTTGAATTAGCAAAACTACTCTTTGCCTTTACATTTCCCATATTTCTTTATCTTATTCAACTCTAATCTGAAAATTGGAAAGCAGTAATAAGGAAAACCATTATCTTTTATTGTGAGCATTCCATTGTAACTCTTGATTTTCAAATTTTATCTTATATTGAAATTGTTGATTTTTCAGATTTATGGTCCGCTATGATTTTCTTTTGTTTATTTATGGAATTTTCTGTATGATAACCACATTGGAAAACATTTACTCATCTTTTTTTTATCAGAGTTAACCGAGTTCCTGTAATTATATTTTTTGAGAACCCAATAATGAAATTTTCAGGAGAAAAACTTATTTTTTAAAAGTTACAAAATCATCAAGTAAAAATCAAAATAATTCAGTAGAATGGATTTACTAAAAATTTTTTTTTCATTTTCCTGGACTCCTCTAACAACTCAAAATTAAGAGGAACAGCCAAAAGGAAGAAAGGTAGAAGGAGAGCTGTTATCAAATACTTACTGATACAAAGAAATGTGGCTTTCTCTAAAATAAATATATTAGTGTCTGTAAGGTTATGCCTGAGGAATAAAAGTTGCTACCTTGAAAGTTACAAAGTAAAAGTATCATGGGACTTTCCTGTTATAATTATTTTGTTTATCTTTCCTTTTACAGTGGCCATTCAGGAGAGGAAGTACAGTTATGCAGTAAAGCCATTAAAACATCAGATATTGATAATCCTGGTCATTTTGAAGAGCAATATGAATCTAGTTCTTCTAGCACTTGTAGTGATTATACCAGTGATAATGAGCAAGACTTTGTTTCCTCCATTCTACCAGGAAACAAACCAAATGCAATGGGTACAAGGCCACAGTTACACCAAAAAAGCAAAATGAAAAAGCAAGTTGGTGAAAAAGCTAACTCCAAACACAGAGACAAAGAACAGACAGTAATAGATGTCACTGAGCAGTTAGGCAGTTGCATATTGGATTGTCAGGAGAAAGCTGCTGATTGTGAACTTCCTTTACAGAAAGTAAATACTCAGATTTCTTCATGTAGTCCTTTGCATGAAAGATTAAAAGCTTCAGGAAATTTTGAAAATAAATACATGTCAGAAATAACTTTTGTTGGCATAAGTAAGAAAAGTGCTGAGCATTTTAAGACCAAATTTGCCAAATCAAACCAAATTTCTAAGTCAGCCTCTAGTTCCATGCAGATGTGTCCTGAAGTTGCAAAGACAAACTTACTTAAAATTCTAAAACAGACTTTGATTGAATGGAAGACAGAAGAAACTTTGAAGTTTTTGTATGGCCAGAATTATGCTTCTGTGTGTCTGAAACCCTCTCCAGCCTCTCTGGTTAATGAAGAACTTGATGAAGATGACATAAACTCTCACCCAGATAGCCATTCCCCTGTTTTGGTGGAATCTCAGAATAGCCTGGATGAATCTTTACCTTTCAGGGGCTCAAATGCAGCCATTAAACCACTGCCAAGTTATGAGAACTTGAAAAAAGAAACTGAAACATTAAATCTAAGGATCAGGGAATTTTATAGAGGACGATATGTTTTGAATGAAGAAACCACCAAATCACAAGACTTGGAAGAGGTATGTCTTAATGATAAGGGTCAAAATAATGAGTTTTTCCAGGCTGCTAACATTTGGAAAAGTCATCATAATGAATCTTAGCAGGAAGAAGAATATTAAAGAGTTCTTGTTAAATTTTCAATAAATATTATTTTGAGGTGTTTTTTTAACCCAGGGCCTTACATATGTTAAACAAATGTTTTAACCATTGAACTATATCCCCAGCCCACTAAAAGTTTCTTTAGTGCATCTGTCTTCTGTTTTAAAATGCATTCTCTACTATTGGCATTACAATTTTACAAATAAGTTGGTTTCCTCCTAATAAATTTTCATAAATTGTGTAATATTTCTCTATAATGTAAAATGAGCCTAGAAAGATGAAACAAAGTTTTCTTTTAAACCTGGTTCTTCAAACTGGGGATTTAGTTCAGTGGAAGGACATGCCTAGCATGCATGAGGCCCAAAGTTCACAATGATAACAACAAAAAAGCCCATTTCTTTTTTTAAGTAGACCCTCTGAAGAAGCTTTTTTCTTTGTTAGTGTGTGGTGTTAGAGATCTCTCCATGTGGTATGTGTGTTTTATTTACATTGAGACTGTATGCAGTAGCATAAACTTAGTTGTTGAATAATAAAATATTTGGCAAGCACACCATTTAAAATATTATAGATGAAAATAATATAATAAAGGGACTTCTTGGAAAATAATGGATATGGAAAATGGGAAGAGTACATTCAGAAAGACCTAGATTTGAATATCTGTTATGTCATTTACTAGTTTTATAAAAACTTAGTTTTTTGAGTCTGTTTGCTCATCTGTAAATAGGACTAATAATAACTTCCCTTGCTCAGTTGTTTTAAAGGGAATGTATGTAAAACATTTATCTCAGTGTGTGACATATAGTTGGTACATAGTAAATAGACATAGAGAGATTGAATATATCTGTCGAGTTTTAGGAAGAACCTTTTAGTATTTCTGTTACCCATTTTTGGTTCATAGGTCTTGTTTAAGAAATGAAGTCATTTGGCATGAAGAGGAGTGGGTAATGTTTTTACCACAAACTTTGTTACTAAAGATTTCTGAGCAAATATAGCTCTAAGTTTAAAAATACTTTTGGAGGGGCTGCGGTTGTGGCTCAGCGGTAGAGCGCTCGCCTCACATGTGCGAGACCCTGGGTTTGATCCTCAGCACCACATACAAAAATAAACAAATGAAATAAAGGTGTTGTGTCCAGCTACAACTAAAAAATAAATATTTTTTGAAAATACTTTTGGATATTTGGAAGAGAGCAGAAATGGGAATATAGTAAAAATTTAGAAATTTCTTTCTGTAAATGCTTCTCCTAGTCTAGCACCATACTTGAAAGCGCATCAACTGTATTATTGGACAGCATCAAAAACTTTTATTAAACTGAGAGAAGTATTAGTCTTTCTTAAGTTGTATATCACTTGTTTTATCATTTTTGTGCTTGTAAGCCTTAAAAAGAAAAACCTGATACCTGAAAGGTATAACATTTTTAAACTTTCATTGACCTATAATGCAAACAGTAAATGTACAGCTTATAGAATATTTATTCACATGTGAACACATGCATGAAGTCACTACACAGACCAAATTCATTATAAGTAAACTAGATACCCCATTTATGTCTGCTCCAAATCTTACCTCTTTATAAAATTAGTAGTTGCTATTATAGCATAGATTAGTTTTGCCAGTTTTTGAACAGTATGTGTATTCCTTGGTATCCCATTTACTTTATAAAATATTATGATTGTGATTCAACTTATGTTGTTGCACATAGCTGTAGATCATTCTTTCATTGCTGTGTAGTACTCTGTTATATAAATCCAGTGTTCAGTCCCGCCCCCATCCTTCAGTGGTTGCCAGAAACCAAATATTATATTCACTATGTTTTTTCCTAAACATACATACTTATGAGAATGTCTAATTGGGGGAATGTGGCTCCGTGGTAGAGGTCTTGCCTAGCATGTACAAGGCATTGGATTCAATCCCTACCACCACAAAAACAAACAAAAAAGTCTAATTGTCACATGAAGAGATTAACAACAATAACTAACAATAAAATAAAAGAATTATAATAATATAAAAGTTATAATAAAAAGTTACAAACAACATAAACACTATTTTATATTATAAAAGTTATAAAGTTGTAATAAAAGTCATTTGAATGTAGTCTCTCTCAAAGTATCTTGTACTGTACTCACCTTTCTTGTAATGATGAGAGATGATAACAGTGCCCATGTGATGAGATGAAGTGAGCTAGTGCTAGACACATTTGACCTTCTGACAATATGTCAAAAGAATCATCTGTTTTGGGTAATCATGGATCATCAAGTCATAATTATGTCAAAGTGTGACTGCAGAGGTTGCAGTCCTTTAGAAAGGTGACTTTAATGCTGTGATCCATCCAAGGATCATAATCCCTAATTTTGTCCTTTAATGTTTGTGCAATTTGAAACACTTGAGCAAATTTCACTAATGGCCATATTGCTGATTCTGCTTCCATTTCATCATCGTCCTCTTCCTCTTGTAGATGATTCAACAAGTTCTTCCTCATTTGTTAATACTTCTTCGTAGTCTTCACTGTTTCCACTTTTTCACCAAACACATTGACAAATCCTTCTCCACCAACTTGTCTTTACCACATGAATGCTTTTCCTAACTTCTTCATCAATCCCTGAAAAGCCTTTAAAATCATTTACAATTTCACTCTATCATTTCTTCCAGCAAACGTGTAGTTTCTGGCTTTTACTCATTACAGCTTTGATGAATGTTGTAATATCAGCAATAACAAATGATTCCCAGGACTGTAGTATGTCTAAAGTAAAGTCTGCATCAATTGCTGATCAAATACCAGATGGGGGTTTGTGGCCTTGGGAAACCAAATAATGCCTTAGTGAAGGCCCTGAAACAATGAGGTAAAAACACAACTGTGACATTTCCATTTTCATGGCAAACAAATTCAGAATAATCAGGTGCATTGTCTTTTATTTATAGGATTTTAAAATTCCAACCTGTTCTTTTCCAAGCTTTTTTTTTTTTTAACTTCTAAGATGAAGTGTCAATGAAACCATCCCATAAACAAGATGTCTGCTACCCATGCTTTCTGATTATGCTGCAAGAACAAGGACGGATAACTTTTGCTTTCTTTTTGAGAGTAGGTAGGTTCTTGGCTGTATACGTTGAACCTGGCTTTATTATATGCCCTGCAGCATTGACACATAGTGCCAGAGTTATCTGTCCTTCCATGTTTTATGCACTGGTGCCACTTGTGCACTTTTATGAATGTAGATTCTGTTGGGCATCTTTTTTCAAAAGAGGCCTGTTTCATAACAATTTAAAACTTGCTTTTAATAGGATCACAAAGGTGATACTATTTCAGCTCTGCTGGAAATGTGGCAGCAGGTTTCTTCATTGACAGATGCACCCTCTCCAGTAATTTTTATATTTGTTAATCCAAATTATTCTTGAATCTGTCTTGCCTTTATTTATAGTAAATGGCTTGGTCTCATTTGTTTTAGGAGATCCCTTGCTGAAATCCTCGAATAGGCTGCATACTCTATAGCACAATAAATTGCTCTCAGTAAGAACACATTTTCTGTTTATTTCTTCTAATCACAAGCCTTTTCCATCTTAACTAAGCAGTTACATGCGCTGTGGCTGTACCTTTTGCAGTTTGTGGTATGACAGCAAAACTAGTGTGAATTCCATTTTTTCTTTGTAATTTTGCAAATAAGATTTGTTCTTATTATAGATCTTAGCAATTTCAGCACAGAGTAATTTTTTTTAAGTTGAGAATTTTCACTTAAAAGTACTTTGCAGTTTCTCTTTGTCTTAAACTGAATTGCTAGTATTACTACTCTTACACTTTAGGATCATTATTAAGTAAAATAAGGGTTACTTGATAACAACACTGCAGTACCACCACAGTTGATCTCATAACCAAGAGGCTACCAAGTGACTACGAGGCTAGGGTAGCATATATAATCTGGATATGCCAGAAAGGGGGATAATTCACATCCTATGCTGAATAGAGCAGAATCATACTACTTAGAACAGTGCACAATTTAAAACTTACCATTTCTTTATTTCTGAAAATTTCCATTTAATATTTTTAGACCATGACTGATCACAGATAACTGACATCATGGATAAGGGGGACTACCACAATTTTTTTTATATCAATGGAAATTTTGGCTGTTTCTAGTTTGGGGCTATTATGAAATGTGCTGTAATGAAATTTCTTATATATGTCTTCTAATGTGCATGCAGTTCTGAAGGATATGTGTCGCTAGGTCATAGAATATGTACATATGCAATTACATTAAATAATGACAGTTTTTCAAACTGATTTACTGCTGTTTGAGGGTTCCTTTACTTTTTCTTTGCTGTTGTTATTTTTAGCCATTCTTGTACTATCGCTTGATGGTTATAGTACATTTATTTGATTAACGAATCAAATACTTTCATGTTCATTGCTTGACCATTTGGAGAGTCTCTTGTGAAGTACCTGTTGAAGTCTTTTTTCCATTTACCTATTAAAGTGTCTCAGTTTTTAAAAATTGATTCGTAGGACTTCTTTATCAGTTATATGTATTACAAATATTTTTCACTTTGAAACTTGCCCTTTCAATTTCTTGACTCCAGTTTTTTAATTGTTCCCTGTAGTAACATCTTTTTTAAATTTTTTTTTCTTAATTGCTAGGTGAATGCTCTACTGTTGAGCCACAACCCTAGCCCCCTCTGTAGTAACATCTTTATGAAATCTTAGTCCAGATTGTTTATCTTCTAGATGCTTTATTGTTTTTCATTTCATATTTAGATCTGCAATTCATCTGGAAATGAGTTTGTTTCTTTGTTTTTGTACTAAGAAGTATGGATCAGATGTCATTTTTTTTCCCATTTGGATATCCAGTTTACTCAGTAGCATGTATTAAAATGAGTCTCCTGGGGGCTGGGGATGTGGCTCAAGCGGTAGCGCGCTTGCCTGGCGTGCGTGCAGCCCAGGTTCGATCCTCAGCACCACATACAAACAAAGATGTTGTGTCCGCCAAAAACTAAAAAATAAATATTAAAATTCTCTCTCTAAAAAAAAAAAAATGAGTCTCCTGGGCTGAGGTTGTAGTTCAGTGGTAGAGTGTTTGCCTCTCACATATCAGGCACTGGGTTCAATTCTCAGCACCACATAGAAATAAAATAGAGCCATTGTGTCCACCTACAACCAAAAAAAAATGTTTTTAAAGAAATGAGTTCCCACTTCTCTACAGCTATAGTTTGAACCTTGTCAAAAATAAAATGTTTATAAATGTGTGGGTAAATTGGTCTATTTCTCTTCTTGAGCTAATACCATGCTAATTAGGTAGCTGTATAATAAGTTTTCATATCTGTATGATAAATCCCTCCATCTAATTCTTTATTAAGTTTGCTCTGACCATTCTTCTCTTTTTCTTTCCTTATAAATTTTAAAATTAGTTTATCATAGTACCGATTGGGAAGGGGACTGTTAGGACTTTTATCGGGGTTACATCTAATTTGTATGTAAATCAGTTTGGAAAGAATTGACATCTTTACATTATAGACTTCAATTTGTGAATGTAGTATGACTTTCCTTTTTCAAAAATCTGCTTTAATGGGGTTGGGTTTGTGGCTCAGCAGTAGAGCACTCGCCTAGCACATGTGAGGTACTGGGTTTGATCCTCAGCACCACATAAAAATAAATAAGTAAAATAAAGGTATTGTGTCCAACTACAACTAAAGAAATTTTTTTTAATCTGCTTTAATATTGTTCAGTAATCATAGATTTTTGCACAGGGGTCTTAAACAGGTTGCATTTCATTTATTCCTAAGTATCTGGTTCTTATAAGCTATTGTAAATGGTATCATTAAAAAAAATTTTTTCCCAAGGGCTGAGTTGTAGCTCAGAGGTAGAGTGCTTGCCTAGCATGTGTGAGGGCCTGGATTTGAGTCTCAGTGCCACATAAAAATAAATAAAATAAAGGCATTGTGTCCATCTACAAGCAAAAAATATATTTTTTTAAAGTTTTTTTTCCTTTTATGTAGAAAATCAATTTTCATGTATTGACCCTATAGCCAGTAACTTTGCTAGACTACTTAAATTATGAGTTCTAATAACTTATAATAATTAGTAGTTCTAATAACTTATCTGTAGTGCTGGAATGTAGTTCAGTAATACAGTGCTTTCATACCATACATGAAGCCCTAGGTTCAATCCCCAGTACTTTTTTCCCTCCTGCATTCTAGCCCTTATTCCCAGTATTTCTTTCTTTTTTTTTTTTTTCTCTTTAGCACATTTTAAAATTTTAAAAAATTTTTTCCCAACTAGTTGTACATGACAATAGAATGCATTTTGACACATTGTACACAAAACCTGGTATTTCTGTATCTTATTCTGCTGGCTTAGACATCCAGAACATTGGGTTTCCTTGTCTCATTCTCTGTCTCAGAAGCAACACTTTAAATTTTTACCACTAAGTATGTTTGTTGTAAACTTTCTTATAGATTCCTCTTTATCTGCTCATAGATGTTTCCTTCTATTTCTAATTCACTAATTATTATCACAAATGGATATTGAATTTTAATAGGTTAATTTCATGTGCCTTTTAAGATGATCATTTGAGAGATTTTTATTATAATTAATTGCATTTATTTTTACTATTAAATCAACCTTACAGTCTTATAATAAAACCAACTTGATTGAGCTCTGATAACTTTTTTTTAATATTTGTTTTAGTTGTAGGTGGACACAATAACCTTTATTTTATTTTTATGTGGTTTGAATTCTATTGTCTGCCATTTTTAGAAGCAAAACTTTCCATAATATATTTTATAATATTTGCTAATTTTAGTCTTTTAACCTCACATTTGTATAGCACTTAGTAGTTTACAGAATCCTTTTGTATACATTTTCTTATTAATATAGGAGGTATTAATGTCCCTATTATACTGATCAGAAAACTTTCAAAGAAACTAGATGATTCAAGTAAGCAATGACTCAAGCTGAGCTGATACTCAGATTTAAATCTTTTAAATCTCAAGTCTGGTTTATTTCCTTTTATATCACAGGTGTGATCTTTTGTGCTTAGTGTTTATTGTTCTACTTATAAAAGAATGTGAATTCATTATTCTGTTTTGTTTTGTTGAAAAATGTGATCCAGCATGATCCCACCTTTCCACTGATAGATTCAAGTTCCCAGAACCAGATTAGAAAACGCATCGTTCTTGAAAAATTGAGCAAAGTGTAAGTATGTAATTGTCATCCCAGTTTTTAATATTTTAAAATTAACAATATTATGATTTCATAATTTGCAAATGTTACCCTTCAATTTTAAACATTAAAAATTTTTTTCTTTTAATATTTTTTTAGTTGTCAATAGACCTATTTATTTATATATGGTGCTGAGAATTGAACCCAGAGCCTCACATGTGCTAGGCAAGAGCTCTATCACTGAGCCACAACCCCAGTCCCAATTTTAAACATTTCGAAAAATAGTAAGAAAAGTTTACATGAATGTCTGCACTTTAAATTTTTATATTGTTAAGCTACTGTATCCCAAAGATACTAAATTTTGTGTTGAAGACAGACCACCACCATAAAGAGGAAGGTTGAGATTCTAAACTATCTCACTCCCTCTTAATAATCCAGTGAAGTCAGGGGAAAACTATCAAAGCTAGATCATTTAAATACTGATTTGTGGTAAATGTGTCATGTTAGTTTTACATGTGAATAAGAGGTTGTTAAAGTTTTAAAGGTCTGTTAACTCACTCTACCTACATATTCATAGAATCATTTCACACTCAGCAATGTTTTTTATTTAGCTCAACTCTGCACTTTAAGCTTCCTGTAGCAGAAATGATTGTTCTTATAATTAGCCCAATCATAAATGACGCAAAAATTGCTATTTTGGTTTCTCGGTGAAAGGGGGCTTGAAAATCTTTTTTTCCAGAGATGTGAGGGCTGTCTTGAACTTTTCAGCCTGCACGTTTTTGTTTTTTTTTTTTAGCAGAAAACATGGGAAAGTGTGTCAATCATTGTTTCAGGACTTGTAAATAAAGAGAAGTCTTAATTTTGTAGTAGTTTGAAAATAAGAAAAATGTCATAGTGTTTTGAGCAATTGAGATATAAAATGTTTACTTGTGATATAATTAATGGAAAGTAAGATAATTTTGCTTTGAAGTATGTACTTCTCAAACCACCCTTGAAATCCTTTTTTATTTGCTTTGTATCTTGACTTGGTAATGTACAAAAAACAGAATCAAGAGGAACTACTATAATTTTTACATTTTAAATAAACGTTTAGGGGCTGGGAGTGTAGCTCAGTGGTAGAGTGCTTGCCTAGCACATGTGAGGTACTGGGTTCAATTGTCAGCACCACATATAAATAAATAAAATAAAGGTCCATCAACATCTAAAAAATATTTTTTTAAATAAATAAATGTTTAATATTTATGCAGTATCTGCTATGGGTGGGCCCTTCATATACAATAAATCCATTAATAGTTTTGCCTTTTACATGATCTTCATACTTGTTTATTTGCTTCTATTAAATATTAATATAGAAAGCAGTATAAAAGACTACCTTATTCACAATACAGAAGATATTACTTTAGTTACAAAGATTTTGAAAGTTGGGTTAGATTATCCGTACTGTTGTGTATTTAGTAGATAAGAATTTATGTAGAAATAGTTTTCTAGACTTTAGAATATACAGTTTTAAATTTGAGACCATACAGACATGTCATCGAAGCAGTCTATGCATCCTGGGTTTTGGCTAAAACAGAGGATGCCAGAAAGAACTTTGCTAGAAATCCATATTACTGATACTGGCACAAGAATTGAACTGAGAAGGGATGGAATCACTTAAGAGAAAGCACAAAGAGCATTGAAAACAAAACTAATTATGGTGGCATGGGTTTTTGAGGTCATTTACAAGTTTATGAAAGCAGTTTGTCATTTTCTCATTATAAAAGTAACACCTTTTTTGATCTCTGATTTGAACAAACCAATTATAAAAAGACATTTTTAATAACCAGAGGGAAATAAATTTGTATTGGATATTAGATGTTACAAAGCAATTATTTGGTTGAGTATGATAATTTTAAATACAAAGAAGTTATGTTTGTGTTTAGAGAAACAAATACAAATAGAAATCCAATGACATGATGTCACGAATTTGGTTTACTTTAAAATATTACTATAAAAAAAGGAAGGAAAATGAAACCAATATAGGAAAATATTGAAATGTTGAATCTGGAAATAGATAATGAGGTTATTATTACTGTTCTATTCTGGAACATTTTTGAAACTTTCATAATTTTTTTTAAAAAAGATAGTGCTTGTTGGAGAATATTTAGCAATACAGAAATAGTATAAAGGAGGAAATGAAAGTCAAATCACCTGTAATCCCACCACTTGGTGATAACCTTTATTAATATTTTGATGTTTATATATATTATATGTATGGTGTATGTATGTATGTTCATTCCCTTTGGTTCCCTCTGTTGTAGAAACATAGAAAGAATGAAATGTTTGATATGTAATAGGTATCATATATAGAAGCATTACATGTTTTTATAAAAATGGGATAATACTATGAATGCATTTTTAATTTAACATTTGTCATATCTTTCCACATTTTCAAAAACAGAGCATAGTGGTATAAAACACCACTACAGCCAGGTACGGTGGTGCACACCTATTATTCTAACTACTCAGGAGGCTGAATCAGTAGGATGGCAAGTCTGAGGTCAGCCTAGGCAGCTTAGACCCTATCTCAAAATAAATAAATAAATATATTTTTAAAAAAAAAACAATAGATTGACATTATTTTCAGGGTTTTGTTACAATTTATTAAATGTGTATATCATAATTTATTTAATCAATCACCTTGTTTCTGGTTTTTCACTACTAAAATTATTTCTATAGCAAGCATTTTTTTTATTTGATTATTTCCTTAGGATAAATTTTTGTCATAATAAAACTATTGACTCAAAGAATATTCACAATTAAAATGTTAAGATATATTGCCAAATTGCTCTTCAGGTAAGAAAAACTAAGGACAAAATACAGATGGCCAAAATGATTTTGCATTTTAGTGCTTTACACTATAGCGTAGACTACAAAGTAGAGCATAGAGTTACTATGAAATGTTTCCTTTTGACTTCTTACCAGTCATAATCTAGTTTAACTGTTTAAAATCATGACCACTTCCACCTAAGTGCCATTACCTTCGGCAGATCCAGAGTTAGGCATGACCCAATGTATGTTTCTATATAATTAAATTAAATTATAAAAGAAATGTAACTTTTTTTTTTACATTTCAGATTGCCTGGACTTTTGGGTCCTCTTCAGATTACATTAGGAGATATTTATACTCAACTCAAAAATCTTATCCGAACTTTCAGGTTAGTGTTATTATTTTAATTTTTCCTTCTGAGTTATTTTTACTTTATTGATTACTACAGAATCCATTAGACTAAGACATGTTTTCTTCTCATCTAAACATTACTTCTTGTTGTCTATTTAATGCAACTCCTTACTTGTATAAATCTTGGTATATTCACTTTAGATAAGAATAACGTAAAATTAAGAAGGAAAGTTTTTTTAAATATATTTTATATATATTTATTTTATTTTATTTATTTGTATGTGGTGCCGAGGATCGAACCTAGGGCCTCACATGTGCTAGGCAAGCGCCCCACCACTGAGCCACAAACCCTTCCCAGAAGGAAAGTTTTGTCTATGACACAAAACCAGTAACATTGTTGATTTTAGAGGAATAGTAAATATGTATCAGATTACCATCCCTGTGCTAGGCACTGTGGGCAAAAGAAGCATAATGCCCCCCCTCAGGGAAGAACTTGCCTATGAGAAGGAAAGATGAGTACAGTGAACAATAAAAGATAGAGGGTAACAGTATTGTATTGAGTAGAACTGACTTGAAGTACTTAGAACTATAAAGAAAGGGAGACTAGAGAATTTATATCAATTGTGAAGTTTTGGTTGATAAAACATGCACATACGGTCATTTTATTTAATTTTTTCTAGGATGTTTATATTTGAAAGTGAGTGTTTGGGTAATAATAAGTCTGACATGATTTATCTAGTAGTTACTGATTTTGTTACTCATGAATTGTGGAAACGATCCAATTTCAAAATTATTAACACACAAATTCAGGGATGCCAGTAGTGATCCTCTTATTGGCCTATACTTAAGATTGACTGATTAAATGCCAAAAAGAGGGTTTAAGTCAAATAATATGGTCAAAGTGGAACTTTTCTGCATCCTTCTTAGTGATGAAGAAAGTCAGTAGATTTTTTACGTATTCTGTCTTATACCTATCACAGAACCATGCATCCTAATGAAAGGAATAACTGTACTAAAAGTAAAAGTTTGATAAAGTTTGACTAGATATATACAGTGTGGAAACACTGAAGTTTATGATTCCTTCAGGATTTATCAGGGAGTGAATATTACACTAACATGAAGTTTAACTGAGGAAAAATGAAAATCAGAAGTTATTCTTTGTTTTCTTCCTTTTTTAAATATTTATTTTCTGTAGTTGGACACAATACCTTTATTTTATTTATTTATTTTTATGTGGTATTGAGGATCAAACCCAGGGCCTTGCACATGCAAGGTGAGCGCTCTACCACTGAACCACAGCCCCAGCCCCTGTTTCCTTCCTTTTTTAAAGGACTTGTCATTCAACTTCCTGCAGACAATGTAATAATTACTATGGGCTGGACAAATTGGTGAAGTGACTGAAGACTCATCAGAAGAGATATTAGAGTCCTCTTATCTTGAATTACACTTTGCTTTTTTGTTTTGCCCTGCTTATTTAGGAAAGAATAAATAGCATACATTTTCTAGTGATTTATTTTTTCTTCAGATCTAATTGGATAGCATCTTTTGAAAAAAAGTATTCCAAAGTTCTCAGAACTTACCAGAAACACATAGGGAAAAAATGTTAAACTACCTTAAACACTTCTAATCAGTGAGATTTGCTCATATTTGAGGGCTGGTTATATTTGCCTGGGGAGCCTTAAATAATTGATACCCATGGCCTATTTTTTCATTGTCAATGCCAAGCATTCTTGATGCCTTCAGTATTTTCAAATTTTATTGGAGTACAAGTTTTCAAAATAATTTATAATTATCTTCTGTATTTCTGTAGTGTCTGTTGTGATTTTTTTTTTCTTCATGGACATTAGTAATTTGAGTTTTCTCCCTCCTTTTCTTCATTAGCATGGCTAAGGGTCTGCTAATTTTGTTTTGTTTGTTCAAAGAACCAACTTTTTGTTTTGTCAATTTTTTCAATTGTTTCAATTTCATTGATTTCAGCTCTAATTTTAATTATTTCCTGTCTTCTACTGCTTTTGGTGCAGATTTATTCTTCTGTTTCTAGGGCTTTGAAATGTAATGTTAAATCATTTATTTGTTGACTTTTTCTTCTTTGAAGGAATGAACTCCATGCAGTGAACTTTCCTCTTAGAACTACCTTCATAGTGTCCCAGAGATTTTGATATGTTGTGTCTGTCTTCTCATTCACCTCTAAAAATTTTTTAATCTCCTTCTTGATGTTTTCTGAACCCATTGTTCATTCAGTAGCATATTGTTTAGTCTCCAGGTGTTGGAGTAGCTTTTATTTCTTATTTTATCATTGATTTCTAATTTCATTCCATTATGATCTGATAGAATGCAGGATAGTACCTTTACTTTTTTTTATATTTGCTGAGTTGCTTTGTGGCATAATATAGTCTATTTTAGAGAAGTATCTATGTGCTGCTGAGAAGAAAGTGTATTCGCTTGTTGAAGGATGAAATATTCTACATATGTCAGTTAAGTCTAAGTTATTGATTCTGTTATTGAATCTTTGTTATGCTTTTGTTTGGAAGATCTATCCAGTGGTGAAAGAGGTGTGTTAAAGTCACCCAAAATTATTGTGTTGTGGTATGTTTGACTATTGAAGTTGAGAAGAGTTTGTTTGATGAGCATAGATGCTTCATTGTTTGGGGCATATGTATTTATAATTGTTAAGTCCTGTTGATATATGATTCCTTTGAGCAGTATGTAGTGTCCTTCTCTAACCCTTTTGATTAACTTTAGCTTGAAGTCTACTTTATTTGTGAGTGGTATGATTTTTCCCAATCTTTTACCTTAAGTCTGTGTTTGTCTTTTCCTATGAGATGAGTCTCTTGGAAGCAGCAAATTATTGGATTTTTTTTTTTTTAATCCAGTCTACTAGTCTGTGTCTTTTGATTGGTGAGTTTAGGCCATTAACATTCAGAGTTATTATTTGATTTGTATTCCTAGCCATTTTTGTTTATTTTTGGTATTTAACTTAACTTGGTTTCTCCTCTGATTAGTTTTTCCTTTAGTGTAATACCTCCCTCTGCTGATTTTCATCATTGTTTTTCATTTCCTCTTCATGGAATATTTTGCCGAGGATGTTCTATAGTGTAGCCTTTCTAGTTGTAAATTCTTTTGTTTATCATGGAAGGTTTTTATTTCATCATCAAATCTAAAGCTTAATTTTGCTGGATATAAGGTTCTTGATTGGCATCTATTTTCTTTCAGAGCTTGGTATATATTGTTCCATGATCTCCTGGCTTTAAGGGTCTGGGTTGAAAAATCTGCTGAGATACGAATTGGTCTTCCTCTATACGTGATCTGATTGCTCTCTCTTGCAACTTTTAAGATTCTATCCTTTTTCTGTATGCTAGGAATTTTTATTATAATGTGTCTTGGTGTAGATCTGTTGTAATTTCGTACATTTGGTGTCCTGTAAGCCTCCAGTATTTGGTTTTCCAATTCATTCTGCATGCTTGGGAAATTTTCTGATATTATCTCATTGAAGAGATTGTACATTCCTTTGGTTTGAAACTCTGTGCCTTTCTCTATCCCAGTAACTCTTAGATTTGGTCTTTTGATGCTATCCCATAATTTTTGGATATTCTATTCATGGTTTCTTACTATCTTCACTGTGTGGTCACCTTTTTTTTTCCAGATTGTATACTTTGTCTACATTATCTAACATTCTTTCTTCCAATGATCCAGTCTGTTGGTTATGCTTTCTATTTAGTTTTTTATTTGGTTTATTGTTTCCTTCATTTCACAGATTTCTGACTTTTTTTTTTTTTTCAGAGTCTCTGTCTCTTTCTTGAAGTAATTTTTGCTACCTGTGTTTGCTCTCTTATCTCTTTGTTGGAGTGATCAATTTTTGCCTGTATTTGCTCATTTAGGTCATTCTTCAATTCACAGATCATTTTAATTATGAACCTTCTGAACTCCTTCTCTGACATTTCATCAACTTTGCTGCCCATGGTTTCTGTTATTGTAGTATCCTGGTTTTTTGAGAGCACTTTCCTCCCTTGTTTTTTCATGTTGTCTGTGTGTCTTCCTTTCTTGCAGTGTGGATCTGAGATATTATAGTTTCTACCCTATATTTTTGTAGTACCCATGCAGATTGTCTGTACCTCACCTTGATGTTAGGCTTCCACACCTTGCTGGTGTCCCTCAGTGTATGCTACTACTACTAAAGATGGTTGCAGTAATAACCCAGGTAACTCGAGATAATAGTGGAGGTACCCTAAGATGGATACAAAGTCTTACAAAGATGGGGTTGAAAGGGTGGGCCTTACACTGTCTTTGGGTTGCCTGTTCTGAGATGCAGTTGATTCTAGGCCCTGTCTGTTGTCAAAAAGGTAGGGACTACTGCGTGGGGAAGGCTATGGAGATGTCTGCAGTGTCCCAAGATAGAAGTGGGTTAGGTTTGGGCTCCAAGGTGGGAGTGGATGGCAAACTCAACCTACCCTGGGCCTGGGTTCCATGTATGTTGGTGGGCAGATCTGGGCCAGGCCTGGGCTCCCACAGTGGTTTGCTGGTCTAAAGAGGCTGTTCTGTGCCAAAGCCTGAGATCAGGCAGGTGTCTGCTAGTGGCAGGATGGACCCAGGCCTACTGTGAGCCTGGGTCCCAAGTAGGTTGATGTGGGCAGATCTGGGCTGGGCCTGGACTCCCGCAGTGGTCTCTGGCCTAAAGAGGCAATCCTGTGCTAAAGCTTCCCAAGGATTTTCATTTAGTTGGTTTGGCATATGGCTACCAAAGTGGCAGTACTTTTTTTTTATTTGTTCTTTTTAGTTATATACAAATAGAATGTACTTTGACCTGTCATACATACATGGAGATTCTCTTGGAATCCACTGCTCCAGAGCATAATGCAGAAAAATAGGAACTAAACCTTACGAATCATTCCAGTCCGTTGATTCTCCTACTCTGACCCTTCTGCAGCCAGTCATTTTAGAACTTCACCAAAGGACATGATAATAGTAAGATTTATATTGCAGTGATTCCTTCCAGTTATTTTTCCTTCCTACTTCCAAAGACCTCTTTGTTTTCCACCA